GGTGCCGACCTCAGTGCTGCAGGGATTTTATTTACTTAGGGGGTGCAGGGTGCAGGGTTTAGGGTTTAGGGTTTAGGGATTTTACTTAGGGGGTGCAGGGTTTAGGGGGTTGGGGCTTATAAGGGCTTAGGGTTTGGGGTTTACGGGTTGGGGCTTACAAGGGCTTAGGGTTTGGGGTTTGGGTTTAGGGGTTAGGGGTTTTGGGTTTGGGGTTCTCAGGAGTTAGGGCTGAGGGCTTAAGGTTTAGGATTTGGGCTTCGAGTAAGGCCATGACAGGGTTTAGGGGTTGAGGGTTTAGGGATTATTGCGGTTATCTTTGTCAATACTTCTGAGTCTGAGCCCTATCAAGGCAGGCTTTCTTCCCCTCCTATGCCAAGTCCCTTCAACTCCCGTGAAAACACCTGAACCCTTAGAGGAAGCCTGGGCTCTAGGCTTTTGAGCTGGTTTAGGGAGCCTTTGGTCAAGAGGCCCTGGCCCTCCTGCCCGGCAGGTGCCCTTCGTGCACGCCTTTGATGGTTTCCGCACGTCGCACGAGATCCAAAAGATCCAGGCCGACCAGGGTTCGGATTTACAGTATACGGGTTTCTAGTTGTAAGGTACTTGATGAGCATAGGGCTTAGGGTTCAGGGTCAAGAATTTCGGATATGGGGCATTTGGTAAGATCTGACTGTGCCCCTGCCACTCACTGTGCTTTCTTTCCATGTCGTTGCTGCTCGTAGTACACGGATGACGGATGAGGATTTTCCTGATTAAGGCTCCCTCTCCCAAAATCAAGAGCCCAGCCGTTGGCTACTCCCCCTAAACTCTAAACCCAAGCCCTAAACCGACTACAGATGTGCCCGGATGAATGTTGGAAATACCAACTACAGTCTCCATTGTAGTTTCTTTTCTTGTGCAGATGACCCAAAAAAGGAACTAGAATGGAGACTATGGGTAGTGGCGTTTGTCTAGGCTTGCGTTTGATGTAACACCCCTAGCCCCGCACCAATAGAGACATGGTGTTTAGGTCGGGGTCATGAAAGCGATGTCGGAATGATTAGCAATAAGAATCCCCTGCTCGTGCATAATGATCGCATAATGCATTCAATCAGCGGCTCGTGACTGTCTTCGTCAGCTTTATTCTAAGGCCCCTCTATATTGCGATCACCTGAACTTCTAGGCCACACCGTGTAGAGACGCCTGTTTACCATTGCGCATGACTGCCAGAGCATCCATGCCGGCGCCGATCTAATCCCCAAGCCCTATACCCTAAACCCTAAACCCCAAGCCACAAAACCAGAATGTAGGGGCCGAAATAATTACCAACACTATTTCGGGGGCTCCTTATTACAATAATAGACCCAATTATAGTATAATGACTAATGGGCCCCAACACCCTACTCCATTTAAGGCCCCTATATCAGCCCCAAACCCTGGAATGGAAGCTCGGGTTAACGGGTTGGGGCCGGTTAGGATCTGTTTGGAGATGTCATCGAGAGCCACCGAGAATATCTTAAAAAAGAAGGTTAAGGCTATCTATCATCATTTCCGTGCTACTCAGAGACCGTAGTGCTAGGCATGAAGCCCAAAATTTGTACAGACCCACAACCCTAAACCGAATAAGCCCTATAACACCAAACCCCCATCGCACGCACCAGGCCTACCCGAAGGAGATCTTCCAAAAGGTTGTCGAACTCCTGGCCCCTGCTTGGTGCTCAGAAACATCTGGGTAGCTGTCCCTTTCAAAGTCCTTTTTGTAAGGCTATACTGGGGACCTAAAAAAGGACCCTAATTTAGAGAACTACCCATCTGCTTCTTGATTTGGAACTTAGGGTTCTGTTAAGGGTTCAGGGTTTAGGCTTTAGGGTTTAGGTTCTGGGCTTGAGAGTTTTGGCATGTGGCTCAGGGTCCAAGAGGTGTCTTGGGCTTCTAGCAAAGGTTGCTGCTGATACCTGAGCCCCAGGTAGCCTACCTTTTTGAGGACTTCTATAAAGCATCATAATAAGAATCCCTAAACAGGTAGGCTTTATAGGGTCCAGATGAAGCCTCAGCTGAAACAGGTCAGGATCCTTCTCGAGCCTCACCGTGTGGTTCTATAGCAAACCCCAGAAAGTTGGAAACCGGATCAAGGACAAATAAAATAGTGCTGAGATTCCATATTCGTTATTCGTAGGGATGGAGGCTATTGGGTTTCCAACAGCTGGGCTTCTACTGGGAGTTTCAGAAAATTAGGGTACCTTATTTTGGGGTCCCTATAATAGGGGTCCTATTATTTAGGGTACTATATTAGGGTCCCCTATTTCGGAAACCCCTTACTCTAACCACAAACTGAACTCTCGACGGGTCCAAAACCCAAATCCCTGTGGCAGGTTTCCTGAACCCATTAAGCCCCAACCCAGAAAGCCCTAAACCCTAAACCCTAAACCCTAAACCCCTAAACCCCTAAACCCTAAACCCCTAAACGCCTCGAACCCCAAAGCCGACTCGGCCAGAAATCACACAGTTGTTCGGGGTGCTGCTGGGGCACGACTCTTATTCAAGGGGTTCCTATATAGGTTCGTTTACGCCTAGTTTTCTACGATATAGGTGGATGGATTGATTTAGAGATTACAACCCTGCTGATTTTGCCACAACCAGGGTCCGTCACACAAGTCATGAATGTGCATGTTTTTCGGCAAGCTCTGGTTGTTTTGAAAATAAAGAGCGAATGAAATGGTGAGTTTGACGCAGGAGTAGCATCATCGGCAGTCTTATTGATTCATCTCCATGTTCACCGCCACCATGACCATCATCATCACGACCACCATCACCATCTTCATGATTATCATCATTTTCATCCCGATCCTGATCCTGGTCCTGTCCATAGTCCTGAACATGGCCCGGATCATGCTCGTGACATGTCATGAACATGGTCTTGATCACGGTCATGACTGTGATCACAACCGTTCCACCATTGTCATCATCGTCGCATCGTCCTTCTACTGTAGGGGCCAGAATAATTAGAACAAGGGTTTTGGAAGTACCCTATACTATAGTGAGCTCCGAACCCAGAAACGTCTTCAATGGAAGGGCCCTAAACCCTAAACCCTAAACCTTAACCGTTTCAATACAAACCTCTATCTTCAGCTGGGCCGCGAAGCCCATGATGCGTGCAGGAGATCGATGCGCACCGTTCTCGCGGATTGACGCTTGGCCGATTTCTTGTGTGTGAGTTTTAGGCTCCAAATGTCAAGTTGAGGGCTTAGGATTGACAGTTTCGTGTTGCTGCTGCTGCAGCAGCAGCTGCTGCTGCTGCTGCTGTGATTGTTGCTGTTACTGCTGCTGTTGTTGTTTTCCCTGTTGCTGCTGCTGCTGTTGTTTTTACAGAAAAACAGCAGCCCGTAATTTATGTTAGGTACAAACATCTGGGAATGCTTCCGGCGACCGCAAAGGGTGCCTGTAGAGTTTTGGGGAATGCAAGCCANNCATGGTTTACACAGCATCTGCCCCATCATAGAAATGCGGCGTGGGCTACGTGGTTGCCCATTATGTTGTGAAACGTATTTCTCGAGGCAACACTTCTGTCAAGCAACAGCATTTCTTGTGCAATCCTGAAATCCTGATGAAGCACATCTCAGAATTAGTTTAAATAAGCTTTTCCTAAGCTT